TATATATATATATATATATATATATATATATATATATATATATATATATATATATATATATATATATATATATATATATATATATATATATATCTGTGTGTGTGTGTGTGTGCGTGTGCGCGCGCGCGTGTGTGTTATATGAATATATGATACATACACCACTTGTCCCCATAAAGAATTAATCTCACCTTTCTGTTAAATTTCTTCTGATGAGTACTGTTCTGCATTAAGAACAGTTGCATTTCTCACGTCATTTTTTTTTGGAATTTCATTTCAGTGAACTTTGTACGGTTTTCAGACCATTGCTAATATTCTATCTTAGAAATGTAACTGATTTTGCATTCTATATGTCCTTCGACATATCATTCAGCTCTTTGCACATTGGGCCTCAAGTAAACTGATATGGGGACAGATAGCCAAAGTTGGCATTTGGATTTAAGCTATGAGCAGTGGAAACCTGTTCCTGTATCTGGTTCACGTCCAGCTGCTCGCTACAAGGTAATTCATATTTCTGAATATTATGTATGACCCAATGGGCCCACATTATGAATGATCTTTTGCCTGTCATAATCAGAACCTTTATTTTCCATTTCAAATGTTTAAATTCTTATTCTTTATTCTAAGGGTTCTGGTGTACTTTATGTTTCAGCATGCTGCTTCTGTGTTTGATGGGAAATTGTATGTTGTTGGCGGAAGTCGAAATGGCCGATATTTGTCTGATATCCAGGTATTAATCTTGCTAATAGGTTATGCTATTATGGTCTATCAAGCCCTTGACAATTGGTAACCTTTTTTTCCTCCCTTGATACAGAAGACATGGATATTTTAAGTTAAATTCACTGTACACTTACATCAAAGTTGTGAAATTTACCGTGACCCAAGATTTTCTTTAATCAAATTCATAAACCATTACTATCATTAGTCATTACTAGTCAGCCACTATGTTTGGTACATTTTTGTTTATATTATTATGAATTATAATTATAGGTATAATTTTGTATTTTCTTAGTGTCTTTTTTCCCTTCTTATATATAATTAGTTTGAATTTTCTTCCCTTATACAAATAGTTTGAGTGTGGGATAAAAACAAGTAATTTCCATGAAGTGAGATTATCTGATTACTGATGTCACAGTTTTTGAGCTGTGTCGGTGTTGTTAGTAATTTATAACTATTGTATGAATTTTTGAATTAAAAAATAGCTACCCTAAAGGCTCAATCAATGGGGTATCATCTCTAAGAATTAGATTGTTCCCATTATTCTCAAAATCCGTGAAAT